CCAGATTTTGTGGCTGTAGAGTCAATGCTCTCAAACATTTTCATTTGGGATTTGAGCTGAAAAACAGAAGCTCAAGTGAGCAAGGACAGGCTTTAAGGATACAGTCTAAGTATGTAGTATTCAGATATGTGTATCCATTGGAGGTGATATACTTTTAAGAAGTTTAACAAAATTTTAAATGTCTTCTATTAGGTCCATGTTACTGAAAAAAGATGACAAAAACGTAATTGGGTTCCTCTTCTGCCTCTGCATTTGAGTTGTTTTCATAAGGAAGTTTGTCTTTAAAATGGAATTTCTATAAGCCAAATGCAAAAGGACAAATATTGAATGATTCCACTCATGTGAGGTCAAACTCATAGAGACAAAATTGGACAGTGGTTGCCAGGGGCTATAAGGATAGGGGGACGGGAGTGGGGGGTGGTTATTGTTTAATGGCTACAGAAGTTCAGTTTGGGAAGTTCTAGCATTGGATTGTGGTGATGGTTGCACGACAACATGAACGCCACTGAAACATCTAAAAATGGTTACAATGATTAATTTTATGTTTGCATGTTTTAAAACACACGGATGTGTGCCTTTCTATGACATTTCCAGTGAAGACAATCATCCTGCACTTTTCTCCAAAAACCTCCCAAAGGCAACCACTCTGTCCTCAGCCAATTAAATTCTGTTTTCAACAGGGCACAGACTATAAAGGTCTTGCCCAGTCCCATATACATAAGGCCAATAAAAGTGCTGCTTTGGTGAAAAGTGTCTCTCAGAGAGCACTGTCATATGCAGAGGCCCCTGTGCTCATTACATGTAGAAGCTGGCCTGTGTGCCTCGTGTTCTTATGTTAATAGAGACACTGAAAGACATTTAAATCACGCTGCAGGTGAAGAATCTGTAGGTTCTGAGGATCAGAAGAGTAACTTGTCAACGGTAGGTACATTACAGTATTGCTATATTGTGAATCCTTGACTGGAAACCAGACCTGTGCGTGCCACTTCAAAATCTATGTTTTTACCTAATACCCTGATTAGAAATATACTGAAAGTATCCCCCCAAAAAGGTATGTAGTAAGGGCTACGCACAGCGCCTAGGGCCTTTCATAACTATCTAGTTTTACAGGATGGGTTGACACTTCTCACGGGGGTGAGCCTTTGAGATTAGGAAGGCTGCCTGCAGAAAGGTTTATATAATTGCAGGAAAACCCAAACCAGCACAAGGGCCCGGAAGTAAAACGGACAGATATGTCACGGCCGCCCTGAAAGAACTGATGTCAGGGACCATAAAGGATCTCACCCCATCCCAAACTCGTTTAAACACACCCAAACCAAAAATTTGCTCACACCGGAGTCCCGGTACCCATACCCCCCCAGGAAGTCCACAGCACAGTGAACTCCGGTGCCCAGAACCGGAGCCTCAGTCACCTGGTCTCAAGGACTGGCTGGGAAGGATAAATCAGGGTCCGAGGTCTTTCTGTGGTATTCCAGAACGGTGCCCCGAGCCGACGATACGAGACGCTAGGGCTCCCGCCCCTGCTCACCTACAGCAACAGCCGGCCTAGCTGCCCGCAAACCCTCAGCTTAGCTCGGCTCACTCAGCCCCTTTGAAGTAGGTGGGTGGAGCCTCCGAATGTCGGATCCTGGAAGTCCTCCAACCACCAGCCGAGCTGGCAATGTTCTGTGTCTCCATAGGTCGGTGGATAAGGAAGTGAAGAGCTGAGTGAGAAAAACGGGTGGGCGGGCCTGTTGTTGCCAGGAAACGGTGGAATTAAGCGCCCTGGGCCTCCACTTTTCCCTGGAGCTAGATTGATTGAACTTTTTTATTTTTTAATTTTATTTATTGATTTTTATAGAGAAAGAGGAAGGGGGTAGAGAGAGAAATATAGATTTATCCACCCACTTATTTATGCACTCCCTGGTTGCTTTTTAATTGCCCTGACTGGAGATCCGTCCTCACCCTTGGCCTTTTAGGAGGGTTCTCTTATCAACTGAGCTACTGGGCCTGGGCCAGGGCCAATTCCGATTATTTCTGTGTACTTCAGACCCGGGGACGGTGCCCTCCACCGATCTCCTGCTCAGATGATGAGGCTCGGTTTTCAAGGCTTCTGACTTTTGCTTGCTCCCTTGAGCAGGTTCACCTCCTCAACAATTCTCCAGGCCAGTGTTTGTCTCTGAAAATGTCAGCCCTTTGCTACCCAAGTGAGAGCACTCGGATGGGGAAGGAGGAGACTTCTCTTAAAGGACACACCTATGTCCCATTCAAGTTATGAAACTTTCCCTGATTCATGTAATCAGTAGTGGCCAAGCTCCAGTTGCTTTAGGCAGGAATTCAAGATATAGACTAGGTATGAGTTCCAGAGGTCTTTTATGGCTTAGTGTATGAGGATGCACCAAGGGGCAGACAACTTTACAAATAACAGCAAATACTTAACAGAGAATCTGACAGAAGTGTGGTCAGAGTACATACAGCAGACAGTGGCCTTGGGAGATGAGTGTCAAAACACTTTTTGAAAGGAAATGGCCTTTGCCCTGACAAGATGGTTCAGTTGGTGAAGCATCCTCCCCTACACCAAGAGGTTGTAGGTTTTATTCCGGTCAAGGCAAATACTGTATTTTGATGTGAATAATGTGCACTCATGTTTTTCGACCCAAATTTTCAGGGGAAAAAATCTTTCATTTTAATTTTTAAATTAAATTATTTATTTACTTATATTTAGATACTTGCTTCTTGTATTATAAAAGAATTTTAGCACTTATTTTTGAATATACAGATATTATTATTGCTTTCTAGAGTTACTTTTAATGCATAAGCATAAATAAAATTATATATATATATATATATATATATATGGAATTAGTACTACCCATGTATAATGCCCATCCTTATTTTTCCCTCAAAAACTTTGGCAAAACATGCACGTTATATACATGGCAAAATACAGTATTTTCCCTGACCTAGGTTACAGGTCAAGGACCCGTTCCCTGGTCCTTTGGGTAGGCAACAGATCCATGTTTCCCTCTCTCTTTCTCTTCTTCTCTAAAATCAATAAATATATCCTCAAGTGAGGATTGAAAATACTCAAAAATAAAAGGTGACCTTGGATATCTTAGGGGTTATCAATATGCTGCAATGCAATTCTTCTTCACCCCTAAATCCCCAATTTCCAGGGCTGCTTACTTCTAAAAAAAAACCATTAGTAGAAAGAACTTGGCTTATGATCTAGTCTCTAGATGTGTCCAAAGCCAATTAACATGGCTATGGTGTTAACAACTACTGACATATGAAAATAAACTACAAGGTACTTCCTTGCTTACATTTATAACCAAACTTAGAATATGCAAACAAAAGGAAGTGAAGGTTACAAAACAAAGGAGCAAATAAAAGGCAAGATTTTGATGGTGCTTATTTACAGGGAATAAATGGGGGGAGTGGAATCTCCCACTGAAGGATCTTTAGAGTCTATATACAGCATGAATCTGGCAGCATCTGATTCATAGAAAGGTGCACAATCATAGGTCTGCGGGTGTTTCATTGAACTACTCCATGGCCTCTCAACTCACTTATGCCTTTTTCTCTGATTCCCTGCTCACCAAACAAACTCTTGATTTCAAATTTGGCCTCTCAAATATCTTGATAAGGGTGTCTTCAACAGTAGGAACAAATGGAATACATTTTATAATTTAAAGTTACAGTTGAAAATTGACAAATTGGTACCCTCAGTGATTCACCCATGTCCTCTGAGTAATTAGTGTGTGTGCTGGGTAAATGCAAACCAGATCCTGGACTTGCACAGCTGAAACCATGGTGATCTCCTCCTCTCCAGTGACTTCTCACACTGGGAAGCCAGACAAGGGCAGTGAGCATAGGACCTGAATAGACATTTCTCCAATGAGGGTATACAGATGTCCAATAGACACATGAAAAGATGCAAGACATCACTAATCATCAGGAAAATATAGATTAAAACCACATTGAGTATCACCTCACACCTGTCAGAATGGCTAGTACCAATAAATCAACATACAATGTGTTGGGGAGGATGTGGAGGAAAGAGGACCCTCATGCACTATTGCTAGGATTGTAAACTGATGCAGCTACTAAGGAATTCATATGGAGGTTCCTCAAAAAAGCAAAAATAGAACTACCTTATGGCCTGGCAATTTCACCTCTGGGTATTTATCCGAAGAAACCAAACACACTAATTCAAAAAGACAAATGTGGCCTTGGTTGGGTAACTCAGTTGGTTAGAGCATCCTCCCCATATGCCAAGGTTGTGGATTCAATTTCCAGTCAGGGCATATACAAGAAAGCAACCAAGGAATGCATAAATAAGTGGAACAACAAAATCGACCTCTCTCTCTCTCTCTCTCCCTCTCCTCTCTCTCTCTTACTCTCACTCTCACAAAAATCAGTTAGCCCTGACTGGTGTGGCTTAGTTGGTTAGGCATCATTCCTCCAAGCAAAAGGTCACCTGTTTGATTCCCAGTCAGGGCATATGCCTGAGTTGCTGGTTGGTACCGACTGGGGCATGTAGGTGAGGCAACCGATTGATATTTCTCTTGTTTCTCTCTCACATCAATGTGTCTCTCCCTCTTTCCCCTCTCTCTAAAACTAACTAAATAAAAATCTTTAAAAAAAAAAAAACAATTAACAACAACAACAAAAAGGAGCCTCATCCCTTAAACCAAAAGGTCACGGGTCTGATCCCTGAGCAGAGCACATAGGAGAAGCAGCCTATCGGGTTTCTCTTGCACATGGATGTTTCTGTCTCCCTCTCTTCTCCTCTCTCTAAAATAAGTAAGTAAGTAAATAAATCTCTTTTCAGGAGCTTTTCCAGACCTAAGGAACTTTGAGTATACCTACACGAAATCAATACTTTCGTTGAGTCTCACCGTCTCTCAGCTGACCACTGAACTCATTCCACTCGTTCCCCTTGCTCCCTTTCTTCACATTCCCCACCTGGGCCTCAGGATTGGCTGGTGTCGAGTGACGTATTCAGATTGCGACCCAAGGGTGGCGCCCGCGTGGTTATGTGGCTAGGTGTCCGTGGATGGCTCCCGATTTGCGTGCGCGAGTGTTTTAACCTGCGGTGCCTCGGCTTTGCCAGGACTTGCAGTGGCCGTAGGGGCCCCATGGCAGAAACGCTCTCGACTGAGACGGAGGCAGTGAGAGGGTTGAGAGCTCAGGCTCAGCAAAACGGAGACGCAGGTGGCGTCGCGAGTGGTGAGCCGCCCCCAGGGCACCCGCAGCCGACGGCCGGGGGAGTGGAGCTGGCCCCAAAGGACCGGCAGCTGGCCGCAGGGAGCGAGGAGCAGGCCCCGGCTGCACCGCAGGACCCAGGCAAGCGGAAGAAGCGGCGGGGCGCAACCCGGGAGCGCGTGGTGCCGCCCCCGAAGAAGCGCCGGGCAGGGGTGAGCTTCGGCGATGAGCACTTTGCAGAGACCAGCTACTACTTCGAGGGCGGCCTGCGCAAAGTGCGGCCTTACTACTTTGACTTCCGAACCTACTGCAAAGGCCGTTGGGTGGGCCACAGCTTGCTGCACGTCTTCAGCACCGAGTTCCGAGCCCAGCCCTTGTCCTACTACGAGGCTGCGGTCCGAGCAGGGCGTCTGCACCTCAACGAGGAGCCGGTACAGGACCTCAGCATTGTGCTCAAGGTGGAGTCCTGATAGGGCTGGCCGGAAGGGAGCGAGGAAAAGGGCAGGGTTTTTTTTCCGAGCTAGTAGGGCGTAGGTACTGGAGTAAAATCGGAATAATTCCGAAGCTTTCTCGCTTTCCCTTGGAAAAGTCTTTCAGCCCCCTCCTCTCTCCCATGTCCACAAGTAGCCTCAGCGCTTCAAAATTCAGTGCTTCAAAAATAGTGCTTCCTTGTTTCCAAAGGACAGAAGTTGAAAATCTTGCGGCAGCAGCCTTGTACCACTGGCACTGACACGGATCACTCGATTTCGCATTGTGGATGTCCGTACAAATAGTGTAGTAGACGCTATCGTTTATGTCTCCTTACTGTGTGCTGGGCACAGAGTTAAGCATTTTAAGTACTTAATATTTAATTTTATCGACATCCTTGTGGGGTATGTTTTGCCACCTCATTTTACCTGTGAGGAAACTAAGGTAAACCTTGTGGAGGTAAGGCAACGGCGTCAATTCCAAAGCCTGTGTTCTTTATATTTAGAGAGAGGGGAAGGGAAGGACAGAAATATCAGTGTGTGGTTGCCTCTTGTGTGCCCCCAAGTGGAGGCTTGGCCTGCAACCCAGGCATGTGCCCTGACTGGGAATCAAACTAGCGACACTTTAGTTCGCAGCTCGCGCTCCATCCACTGAGCTACGCCAGCCCGGGCTCAATCCCTGTGTTCTTATAACTACTTCAATTATTTACTATAGAGCCTAATACGATAGAATGGTGAACTATTATAGGGATAAAGACGAGCTGCCTAGCCCAGTGCTTTGACCCTTTTTAAAATTCCTTCACAGCTGAGAGGTACCAGACACCCCTGTCAGTAACACTGGCTCACCAGGTTGTGAGAAGAGACAAGGAGATTTCGGCATTCGGGAATGGGTGGTGGTTTGAATCCTCTCCCCGTTCCCAATTTTGAAAAGCACATTTTACAGACAAGGAAACAGGCCCAGAGAAGTGAGGTGACTTGCAGTGAGCCTGTGGGAAATCCAGGTCTAGAGCTCAGATCTCTGGACTTAAAGCTTGGTGTTATTTCTTTAAGGTCATGGGGAATGATGGTTTATGGAGATTTTTCCCCTCTAGTTAAACATATATTTACCTTTTAAATAAAACATTGTAGAGAAAATACAATCAATACAAAATTTAAAAAAAAGAAAATACAAATAAGCAAAATCAAAAACCATCCATAATCCCATCACCCAGAGATATTACCATTAAGGTTTTGGTATATCCTTTTAGTTCCTTTTTCCAGTGCCTGCTTCTGCCCGTGTTGTGTGTCTGCATTTTTACAAAATGAGAATGTACTACACATACTGCTTTTTCTGTGTAAGGACATATAGTGACCATTCTTCTGTGTCAGTAAATAACAGGAAGCTGTGTGTGAAGTTGACTGATGACAGATTGCTGGCCTCGAGGCTGACCGATTGCCTGTGTCGTTGGCAGGACAATGACTTTTTGAGGAACACAGTGCACAGGCATGAGCCACCAGTCACAGCAGAGCCTGTCCGCCTGCTGGCTGAAAATGAAGATGTGGTGGTTGTAGACAAGCCTTCTTCCATTCCTGTCCACCCCTGTGGCCGCTTCCGACACAACACAGTCATCTTCATCCTGGGCAAAGAGCACCAACTTAAGGAGCTACACCCACTGCATCGGCTTGACCGCCTTACATCAGGGGTCCTTATGTTTGCCAAGACAGCAGCCGTTTCGGAGAGAATACATGAGCAGGTTCGGGACCGGCAGGTGAGCCTGGCTTTTGTCTCATTGCAGGTCTCTTCTGGGCTCACAAATGCTGTATGTCAAAAAGGTGTCCCTGAGTTCTAGCTGAAGTAGGCCGTTGTATTTCATCTGGCCACGGTTCCTACCTTCAGGGAGGTTGACACCTAAAGTGCCAAAAACAGGTTATTCATATCTCTTACGCGTCAAGAGACTTATAGAGATGGCATACACTGCCTCTCTTGGTACTTTGCTCTTTTGATGTTTTAAAGTGCTGGCAGGCTGAGCAAAGTTTTTGAGATTATGGAGAGAGCCTACCTAGTGGAAAGATTGTGGATGAAATTGGAAGAGGCTTGGGTAAAATGGTTAAATGATAGTGATTGTGGTCTTGAGACTTATAATTGTGGATCTGATTGCTACATTTATTGAGTGCTTATCGTATACCAAATACATTGAGTCTAACTTTCTGAATCCTTGTAACAGCCCTTTGAGATAAAAGCTTTTCTAATTTCACTTTTTCTAGGCAAGTTAAATGGATTTAAAGAGACTAAGTAATGGACTCTGAGCCATGAAACTGGCAAATGGTGGAGCTGGGGTTTGCATCCTCTTCTGTGGCACTGGTGCATTCCTCACCACTTGCAGAGGGTCAGGGCTTCATGAGTTTAGACTTCGTGCTGATTTTCTCCCTCTTCCCTCCTGTGTAGCTGGAGAAGGAGTACGTGTGCCGGGTAGAGGGGGAGTTCCCTGCTGAGGAAGTAACCTGCAAGGAACCCATCTTGGTAGTGTCTTACAAGGTAGGGGTGTGCCGTGTAGATACCCGGGGCAAGCCCTGTGAGACAGTGTTTCAGAGACTGAGCTACAATGGCCACTCCAGTGTGGTGCGGTGTCGGCCACTCACAGGCCGCACCCACCAGATCCGAGTCCACCTCCAGTTCCTGGGCCACCCCATCCTAAATGACCCCATCTACAACTCAGTGGCCTGGGGCCCCTCCCGGGGCCGGGGTGGCCACATTCCCAAGACGGATGACGAATTGCTACGGGACCTTGTGGCAGAGCACCAAGCCAAACAGAGCCTGGATGTGATAGATCTCTGTGAAGGTGACCTGTCCTCAGCACTCACAGACTCGACAGCTCCCTCCTCAGAACCAGGCAAGGACCACCTAGAAGGCTTGGTTGCATCTGCCCAAAAGATGGATGGAATACTTGAAGCAGCCCCTCAGGATCTGGACACAAAGGCCCTGGCACCAGGAAATGCAGCTGAGAAAGATGTTGTGAATCAAGAGATAGACCCCCTCTGTGCAGAGTGCCGACTAGTGCGACAGGACCCCTTGCCCCAGGACCTTGTGATGTTTCTGCATGCCCTGTGCTATAAAGGGCCAGGATTTGAGTACTCTTCGCCCATGCCTACCTGGGCACAGGATGACTGGCAAGAGAACTGAGACCTGTGGCATATGGAGAAATTACTTCTTGGGTTGGAAGAAGCCATGGAATAGGAACTGACCTCATGGAGTGGTACTCGAGCTTTCTGTAAGGAGAAGGTGGATTCTTAAAGGAACTGTTTATACTTGTTACCTCCTTCAGCTAGAGTTTGGGGACTTTTTGGTTTGTAAATACCTCCCTTTTTCTTATACCTCTGGTATCTGGTTTTCCTACTGCTTTTTTTTTATTGAGGTAAATTTACGTAACACAATTAACCATATTAAGGTGTACTGTTTAGTGGCATTTAGCACATTCACAATGTTGTGTAACCATTACCTCTTTCCTAGTTCCAAAATGTTTTCATCACCCAGAAGGAAACTCGTACCCAATAAACAATTATTCTCCATTTCCCCTTCATCCCAGTCACTGGTAACCATTAATACACTTTTTGTCTCAATGGATTTGCCTATTCTGGACTTTTCATATAAATGGATCATATAAAAGATAATTTTTTGGTGTCGTCTTTTGCTTATCATAATGTTTCAAGGCTTATCCAATTTATGGGATACATCAGTACCTCTGTCCTTTTTATGGCTGAATAATACTCCACTGTGGGTATATTATACTGGCCATGTTTTTGTGTACAAATTTTTGTTTGAATTTGTATTTTCAGTTCTTTGTATGAAAGAGTAAAATTGCTGAGTCATATGATGATTCTGTGTTTAAATTTTTGAGGAGTCATGAAACTTTTCCACAGTGGCTGAGCCGTTTTGAAATGGGAAAAGCCGGCATTCGTTCGTGCTACCTGTCACCACCACAACCAGTAAGTAGGGACAAGGACTGAATTTTTGTGGGCACTTTATTTAGATGCTGGCAGTCTGAGAAGATAGTGGGTTGTGTGCCCTCAAAGAAGTCTTAGCATTTCATCTCAAGCCCACCTTTTTATAGGAAGAAGAGAGGGTACACAAGGGATTTGAAAAAAGATAAGAGTTGCAGTCTGGCTGCAGCCTTCCCAGTATTTTATTTGTTGATCAACAGTTACCTGCCACACAGATGTTCCCTCCCGGGAACACCAGTGCTCAGATACATAGGTTGCAGGACCCCTGGGGCACAAGGGTTGGATTGCGTGTCAGCCTGGAGTCCTGTAGGTCCTGCATTCCAGTTCCTGGAATGACAGCTTCCCACAGGCATTAATCCCTATGCCTATCAACTATGACTGAAACTAGAATATTTTAACTCTTTTGAGTTCCCCTATCAATTTTACATTCCCAGGGACTACATGCCATGTTTACAATTTCTCCACATCCTCATCAATACTCATTTTCCGTTATCCTGGTCATAGTTAGCCTAGTGGGAGTGGAGTGCTACTGCACGGTTTAGCATCTCTGCATGTGTGTATTGGCCATTGTTATGTATTTGGAGAAATGTCTATTCAGATCTTTTGACTATTTTTGAGTTGGGTTGTTTGCCTTTTTTGTTGTTGAGTTATAAGATCTCCATATATATTTTGGATATAAGACCATTATCAGATAAATAATTTGCATGTATTTTCTTTTTTGTAGGTTGTCTGTACATTCTGTGTCCTTTTATTCACAGAAGTTTTCATTTTTTTTGTTGTTGTGGTAAGAACACTTAACATGAGATCTGCCCCTTAACAAATTTTTATGAGCATAATACATGTTAACTGTAAACAGTGTTGAACAGCAGATCTTCGAAACTTAATCATCTTGCATAACTGAAACGTCATACCTGTTGAATAGTAATTCCCCAACTTCCCCTGCTCCCAAGCCGTGACATCATTCTGCTCTCTATGTGCTTGACTTTGACAGATACCTGAGGAAAAAAATCTCGTTTTCCTTTACTCACTACTTAGAGAATACTCTATACTTCAAATGTGTGGGGATTTCCTAGATCAGCGAGGAGGTGTCCTGCAGTTGAGCTCAATTCTGACACTGTCAACCTGGAGAAAGGGTCGGATTTCACAAATTAAGGGCTTAGTCCCACATGTCAGTCTCAAATCGGGTTGTCACCTGTGTGCTTCTGACCGACCATAAATCAGAGGTTCCTACAACCCTCTCTGACTTTATCATTTACTGGAATGGCTCACAGAACTCAGGAAAAGGGTTTACTTGGTAGATTGCTGATTTTTTACAAAGGATATTAAAGGACACAAATGAAAGGCCAGATAAAGAGATATAAGGTAAGGTCCGGAAAGGTGTTGAGCTCAGGTGCTTCTGATCCCGTAGATCTCAGGATATGCCACCACCTGGGCATGCAGATGCCTTCTTGCTCACCAGCCTGGAAGTTCTCTGAGCCTAGTTTGTGTCTGGAGACACATCTGTTCAAATCCTTTGCCCATTTTTTAGTTGGCTTATTTGTGGCTGGAGGGGGTTTTGCTATAGAATTAAGGAAGTTTTTAAAAATATTTTATTCACATCTTTAGAGGGGAAGGGAAGGAGAGAGGGAGAGAAATATCAATGTGTGGTTGCCTCTTGTGATCCCCTCCTGGGAACTGGCCTACAACCCAGGCATGTGCCTTGACTGGGAATCGAACTGTGATCTTTTGGTTCGAAGGCCTGCGCTCAATCCACTGAGCTACACCAGTCAGGGAGGAAGTTTCTTATATTTTTTCTTAATAACCCCTTCACAGAAAGATGGTTTGCAGATATTTTCTTCCATAAGTTGCCTTTCGCTCTGTTAATCGCTTCCTTTTCCTGTCCAGCCTTTTAGGTTGATGTAGTCTCACTTTTCTATGTTTGCTTTTGTTTCCTGGGCCTGTGACAAGTTTAGTTTTGATGCAGTCCAACTTTTTCTTTTATTTTTAGTGCTTTTGATGTAATTATCTGAGAATCCATTGGCAAATCTAAGGTCATGAATATTTGCCTCTATTTTCTTTTAAAGGTTTTATAGTTTAGCTCTTATGTATAGGTGTTTGATCCATTTTGAGTTGATTTTTTAATATGGCGTGGGATGGGGGTTCAAGTTCTTTCTGTTACTTGTTGGATATGCACTTTGCCTCGTGATACAGAGATATCTGATCAGATCACTGGGGGTGGGGGGAGGAGCCATAAGAGAAGGTTGCCTGAGGCAATGGTAAATAGACCAGGATGGGATTGGCTGAGAAGCTGAATGCGTCCGGAGTGAATGGAATGATGGGCTGGATTAGAAATCAAAGAAGGGCTCTCTGGCTCTCACTTCTTCCTCAAGGATGCCTGGATGATCATCCTGCAGCTGCCTGTGTTTCCCAACGGAGGGTATTTTGGATGGGAAGGAGCTCCGGATGCAGCCTAGGATCAGGCTGGCCTGACAGAGGGTGGCAGGGTTCCTCTTTTTTTTCTGGTGTATTAGAGGGGACAAGCTCGAGGCAAAAACCTGCCATTCTCCCAAAATTGTATAGTTTTTGTATCTTATGTTGTTCTAGTTTGTAAACTAATCCTATGAAAATAAGATAATTAAAACTAACAAGGGGAATGCTAGCAGGTGTTAAAGAGTTTAGCCTTAATTAATGGGTATAAATGATTATAACTGAAGAATTGAAGAGCTTAGCCTTAATTGATAGGTTTAAATCTATCAGTTAATGCATGTGGAAAGCTGTTACTCCAAAATTGTGGAGCTTTTGAATAAAGACTCCTTCCTTTCCTTTATCACCAAACCTTTGCCTCTGGAATTTTGCCTAGAGGGCAGCACAACCCCACTCGCACCATTTGTTGAAGAGACTGTTCTTTCCCTATTGAATGTTCTTTGCACCCCTGTAGAAAATCAATTGACCACAGATGTATTGGTTTATTTCTGGACTCTTGATTCATTCCCGTTGATCTCTGTGTCTCCGCCACCACTGCCACACAGCTGTGATTTCATTCCTGCAAATGAGGGTGATAGGATTTTTTAAATTTAATTTGTTACTGTGGTAAAAAACATATAACAAATTTTCCACTTTGGACTTTTAAGTGTACAGTTTAGTAGTGTTAAGTATGTTCACATTGTTGTGAAACAGATCCCCAGTTTTTTCTTCTTGCCTGACAAACTCTATACCACTCCTCTCCCCTCCTACCCCAAGGTCCCGGTAACCACCATTCTACTTTCTGTTTCTATGAATTTGATTACTTTAGGTACCTCATATAAGTGAACCCACACACTTTCATCTTTGTGATTGGCTTATTTCATTTAGCAGAATGTCCTCAAGGTACATCGAGGTTGTAATGTGACAGGGTTCTTTTTAAGGCTGAACAATAATAAATACTCCGCTGTGTGTGTATATCGCATTTTGTCATCCCTCATTCACTATGGACACAGGCTGCTTCTACCTTTTGGCTGTTGTGAATAATGCTGCTGTGAACAAGGTTGTGCAAATGCCTCTTAAATATCCCACTTTCAGTTCTTTTGAGTGTATATCCAGAAATGGGATTGCTGGATTATATAGTAAATTCTACTTGTAATTTTTTTAGGAATCTCCATACTGTTTTCTACACCATTTGTATCATTTTACAATTCTATCAACAGTGAACAAGGGTTCCAATTTTTCCATATCCTCACCAACACTTAGTATTTTCTGGGATTTTTTGCAGTAGCCATCCTAGCGGGTGTAAGGTGATATCTCGTTGCAGTTCCGATTTGCATTTCCCTGGTAATTAGTGATATTGAGATCTTTCATTTGCTTCTTGGCCATTTATATATCCCTTAGAGAAATGTCTATTCAAGTCTGTGCATTTTTTAGAGGGTTGTTTTTTGTTGAGTTCTTTAAGTGTTCCTTACATGTTCTGGATGTTAACTTTACAGATGTATGATTTGCAAATATTTTCTCCCATTCTACAGGTTCTTTTTCTTCTGTCTGGTGATTATGTCCTTTTGTAACAGGGTGCGGCCAAGAAGGGGGCCCCAAATAGGGATTTGGAATGGGGTCCAGAACTCAAGGTGTCCAGGAAATACTAGAAAGATATATAAGGCGTCCTCCCCCACACACACAGGTATGAGTTGGGGGAAGGGACAAATGGAGCAGGGCCATTGAGAGCTGTTTTGTACAGCAACAGCTTTGCAGCTAACCTCTGGCATGGCCATTTAACGTATCTATAACCTTTAACTGGTTGCATAGATATGTTAAATAGCTATGGCCTCGCTCTGAGCCAGGGGAATGGAAAGGGACTCCCCCCCCCAGGGTATAACTGGGGGCAGGTCCCCCAGGTTAAGGCACCTGCATGAGAGCTTGGAGAAGATTGGCTCTACACCATAGGGCCACGCCTGCCCAGACCCACTATGGCAGCCCAGTAAAGCTGGAAGGATACAGGAGTGCTGGCAAGCGTAGCCGATTGTGGGAGGAGTCCCAAATGAAGCTGCAGAGGAGGATTGTTGCGAAGATTTAAAACCCTCACGTGGTAGCCATTGAGGAGAGAGCCACATCAGCTTTGGTGGGAGAGAGGACCACGTGGTTGTGGCAGTGAAGAGAGAGAGCCACGTGCTTTTCACCATAGTGGGGACTCCCACAGCTGGGGTGGAGAGAATCACCATGTGGCTTTAGCAGAGAACCGCCACTCGGCTTTGGCAGAGTGGTGACCCCCCCTCCTTTGCAAAGAAGAACCATGTGGTTTTGGCCAGAGTGGGGATCCCTGCAGCTGTGGTAGAAGAAGACCTCAAGGCTTTGGGGTGCTCCCTTTGGCCACATGGCCTGGGAAGCAGGAGAGGCTTTGCCTGGAAGAAGGGTAAAAGAACTCTTG